TGAGGAAAAAAAATTAAGCCTCCAGTAGAAATACTGAAAGATTCTAAGAGCAAAATATTGAATGATGCAGGGAACATCAAAAGAAGATGGAAGGAATACACAGAGTAACTGTACCAAAAAAGAAATGGTTGATCTTCATCCATTTCAGGAGGATGGCATATGATCTAGAACCAATGGTACTGAAGGAGGAAGTCAAAGCTGCAATGAAGTAATTGGCAAAGAACAAGACTCCAGGAATTGACAGAATACCCATTGAGATATTTCAACAAATGGATGCTGCACTGAAGGCACTCACTCGGTTATTCCAAGAGATTTGGAAGACAGCTACCTGGCCAACCGACTGGAAGAGATCCATATTTGTGCCCATTCCAAAGAAAGGTGATCCCACAGAATGTGGAAATTATAGAAAAATATCATTAATATAGCACGCAAGTAAGATCTTACTGAAGATAATTCAAAAACGTTTGCAGCAGTATATTGACAGAGAACTTCCAAAGGTGCAAGCTGAATTCAGAAGAGGATGTGGAACAAGGGATATCATAATTGCTGTCAGATGGATCTTGGCTCAAGGCAAAGAATACCAGAAAGCTGTTTACATGTGTTTTATTGACTATGCAAATGCATTTTAATTGTGTGGATCATGACAAATTATGGATAACATTGAGAAGAATGGGAATTCTCAAACACTTGATTGTACTTATGATGAACCTGTACATTGACCAGGAGGCTGTCATTTCAATGGAACAAAGGGACACTACATGCTTTAAAATCAAGAAAGGAGTGTGTCAGGGTTGTATCCTTTCCCCATACTTATTCAATCTATATGCTGAGCAAATAATCTGAGAAGGCTGGACTATATGAAGAGAAATATAGCATCAGTATTGGAGGAAGAATCATTAACAACCTGAGATATGCTGATGAGACAACTTTGCTTGCTGAAAGTGAGGATGACTTGAGGCACTTACTGATGAAGATTGAAGAACACAGTCTGCAGTATGGATTACATCTCAATATAAAGAAGACAAAAATCCTCACAACTGGACCAATAAGCAGTATCATGTCAAATGGAGAAAAGATTGAGGTTGTCAAAGAATTCATGTTGCTTGGTTCTATAATCAAGGCCAATGGAAGTAGCAGTCAGGACATTAGATGATGTGTAGCACTGGGCAGGTCAGCTATGCAGGAACTCTTTCAAGTGCTGAGGAGCAAGGATGTCTCCTTGAGGACTAAGATGTGCCTGACACAGGCTGTAAGATTTCCAATCGCTTCATATGCATGTGAAATCTGGACAATGAATAAAGAAGACCAAAGAAAAGTTGATGCTTTTGAGTTGTGGTGCTGGTGAAGAATGCTGAAAGTGCCATGGACTGCTAAAAGAGCTAACAGATCTGTCCTGGAGGAAGTGCAGCCGAGATGCTCCTTTGAAGTGAGAATGGCCAGACTTCATCTCACCTACTTTGGTCATGTTGTCAGAGGGGACCATTCTCTGAAGAAGGATGTCATGCTTGATAAGGTGGAGGGTCGACAAAAGAGGTGAAGGCCTTCGAGGAGATGGATTGACATGGTGGCTGCAACAATGGTCTCAAGTGTAGCAAGGATCATGGAGCTGGTGTGGGATCAGGCAGTGTTTCATTCTGCTGTGCATGGGGTTGCTATGAGTCTGAAACGACTCGACGGCACCTAACAACAACTGGTAGCATAGTGGCTAAGGCACTTGACTGCCAACCAGAAGGCTGGCAATTCAAACCCACCAGCCATTCCTCAGAAGGACGTTTGGACAATCTACTTCCATAGTGATACTGCCTTGGAAACCCAAGGGGAGGTTGCTATGTGTCAAGTGCTACTCGATGGCACGTAGCAACAACAACACGGGTGAGTGGAGCTCCATCATCTGGGGTGTTAGGGCTGTATGAATTGTCTCTTTTGTCTTCTCCTGAGAGATGGAGGAAAAGTGTGTCTCTATTGGCTCTTCTTTTCCTATGGTCAGTGTGACCTTGGTACTACTTCACTCCCTGAGTATGGTGGAAGACAGTATGGTAACCATGGTGAACAGCATCTGAAGAGACCCAGATATGTACTGGGAGGAGTACTGGTGATGCATATTCTGGTGATTTCTGTTAGAAGACTCTGAAGCTTGTGTGTGCCTGCTTGCTTCAAGAAGTATAGGAGTAATGGTAGAGCCTAGAAGATTCTGAGGTGCAATAAAGAGGCTCCATATGAAAAGGTCAGTCTCAAAATGACACGTGAGTATTTTTTCTCTTTCACTCCAACTTTAGGCTAATACCTAAGTAGAAAAAACAGTCATTCTTTTTAAGAAGACTTTGCTGTTTCAAGATGTAGCCAGAGTTGATGGCTCTGTTGAAGTGTTCCCAAGATTTCTTCTAGTAATTGGGCCAGACATTGTGTCTAATCACTAATGCTCCTATTAGTACCTCATGGACACCATTCTGAGGCACAGACAACACTTCAATACTATGGAAGAAGAATATGTACCTTCTTGGATTCTAGGGAGAATGTCTTCATTTCTGTTAAGCATTTAGGTAGCAGTCATATTGGCAAGTAATCAGAGTCAGACTAGGGATTTAAGGTGGCTGGAAGAAGGTTCAAGTAACTGTGGTCATTTTCCCCTGTGTCAGGCAGAGTATTAGAGATACATAGAACAGAATCCAGTACTTCCTTCATGCTTTTGGGTGGACCTTATTGTTCTTCTAGCCCTAAATGAATTGGCATCAGCCTACTCTGCTTATTTGAGTTGATAAATGGCCTTGACGTAAGGGGGATTTTGCATGCTTGGGAAAATGTAAGCCTAGAGGTTTCTGCTGCCTAGTCCTTGCTATTCCTTGTTAAAGCTCTAAAATTCTGACTTAACTAATGAGTTTTAATGAAGCCATGAGTAGGCAAAGGAAAATTACAATCCTTGCAAATTCTGGAGGAGATTTTTAAAATCTACCTTCCTTGGAGTCAGGGAAATATTTTAGTATTCAGATTGAATTTTTCTTCACATCTTGAACATTTTCATCTAATTATTTAAAATTATTAATCCCCTTCCTGTTTAGGTAATGGTAAAAAAGTCATTTAACTATATTACCTTCTTTCCTGATTGATATTCTAGTGCTGTCCTATGTCCCAGCTTCACATGGTACCTACTCTTCTATCTTTTTTGTTTTCTTTCCTCCTATTCATAGGATACCATAGGGTGTGTGTTGTTTAGCTAGTTACTAAAGGAGACAAAGCATTGGTCAGGTTACAGATGAATCTGCATGAATTATCAGCAGCAGAAAGAAGAGAAGATATTACATTAAAGGCCCCTCTGGGGGGGTGATCCTGAAAAAATAGTGGAGAAGGAAAACCTTTTCAATTAGAGGAGTACATGTAGTGCATCTCACTGTCACTCTCTTGTGGAAAAATATATGCATTGAAATTAGGATATATAGAGATTCATGGACTTTGGCTAAAAATTTTTGTGTGTGCATGTGTGTGTTTGTTTTTCTTTTCCTTTTGTTTGTTTTGTTTCTTCTTTGCTTGTTCAGAGATTTTGGAAGAACAAGATTGGAAAATTAATGAGGAAAGTCTGGAGAATAGGGATGTAGATGGACAATCTTGTAACAGTTAAGCATCATGAAGATATTTGTACTCTATATAAATGGTCACTAGAGGGCATTCAATGCAGAGATGGGGCTCAGTGGTAAAGTAGACAAGATAACTCTTCCAGTTGATGTCAATTACTATCTTTAGCAACAGGCACCAGGCTTATTTAATGGGCCCTTGGACAAGTGACCATAGAAGCAGGGACGGAGGTTTTGGATGAGTTCAATATTACGAACTCCTCACCAAGTTGATTCACTGTATTTAATAAGATGCTATCAGAGAACAAAAATATGTATTTGATTTATCACTATTACCAAAGATTCAGCTGGCTAACTGGTGACAAGTTGATTGCATTGGACACTTGAGATCATAGGGCAAACAATGCTTGTTTTTAGGAATAGGAAAAATATTCTGGAAAAAGTTTTGTTTTTTCCTGCCCAAGAACTTACAGCATGGATACTCACAATACTCTATCCATCATCATGGCAGTCTATACAATATCACCTCTGACCAGGAAATACATTTCAGCATAATGGTACAACAATAAGATCTTACGCATGGAATTCACTAATCTTATTTCATACTTCAGCATTCAGAAACAGCAGCCTTGGTAGAATGATGGAATGACATGTTGTAGGTTCAGTAATTGTGACATTTAAAAAACAATACTGTGTGAATAAATGCTACTCTTCTACAGGTGATAGTGTATGTTGTAAACCAGCAATCAGTGAACAGTACATTTTCCTATAAATTAATGTTTAGGTCCAGTAACCAAAAGGCTAGAAAGAGTGTCTTTTCTCAGTATTATACCAAGAAATTCAGTTCAAGAAATTTCTTCATGTCTCTGAATGTTTAGACATAGTGTGAAGATACTAGTATCCAAGGAAAAATGCTTCCACCTGGAAATATACTCATACTCTCAACTCTCATTGCCATCCAGTCAGATCTGACTCATAGCCACCCCTCCTTGGGTTTCTGAGGCAGCATCACCATGGAAGTAGATTGCCCAAT